TAAAGAGCAGTGCTACACCCTTTTTTCACTTGTGCCTTTCAGGTGAACGACAGCCACTGGCCGACAAGAACAAAACCGACCCGGGAAGCTTGGGCAAATGCCTTGATCCTGTGTATCAATCCGTGAATCCGTGATCTGTAGCCACAGGATCTTCAGACGGACAAAAACCCGCGTTCCCATATCGGCTTTGCTTCACCTTGTTTATCAGGCCAGTGATGACAGGGCACACCCACATTCGCCGCTATTCCCTCCCCTCTTTTGACCATACACTTTAGCCCGCTCGTTCCGCTAGCTGAAAGTACGAGAAACTCCCCACCGGACCCCAGATTCCTCCATGACATGTTCATTCCAATCTGCTGAACTATTCGTTCGAATTGAACCATCTCTCTGTGCCTGTGCTTCCCACTAAATTCAGTAGCTTTCCATACAGTTCGTGTTCCGCCTCGCGTGTTGCCATCATCTTCCAAACAACTGTTACGCCCGACTCCAAAAGAGGGATATCGGTGGTTTCGCTGTACACTATGTTTCTCTGCTTCCTGTAAATGCTTGTTCGCTTTGCTAATCCATCCACTTCGTCACCCCCACATACACGTTTGGTGGCCCTGGCCATGAGCCTAACAATTCAGGGCCACGAGGCCTTAGCGGTTGTTTTAGCCTTCATTTCAGCATGGTCGACTGGATGATGCTAACTCTGCTGCTTCGCCTGATCTAATGTTCTGGTTCCTCATTTTTAACCGTTACACTTTTCATGTGTCAGGCAGAAAATACTCTGTTTTGCCTTGCCCGCTGTTTTTTGCCCACCGCCGTCAAATCCTAACCATATTCTCTCCAATAACGCACGGTAATTGTGCTTTCCTTCCCTGCTGGCTTAGTGGTGATCATGCATACATCGGACAAGGCCCACTTCCTATGATGCTGTCCTTTTTTCCAACCCTGTTCCCACAATCAATGCCAGTTATGCTATTATTCTGACTGTAAAATTATTATCAAGAAGCAACTCGGCCTTGATGGATGAGCTGATCACACCGCATAGGCTGCGGTGGCTTGGCCACGTGCTGCACATGCTAGTCAATTGACTTCTTTGAGAGGCTCTTTACGCACAGCCACGTGAAGGGCAGAAGACTTGGGAGATTAACAAAGATATCGGGTCACAGAATGTTTCCTTCTCGCGTTTTCCAACAGGCTGTTCGGCGATTATATGTGAACCCACCCATACCACACGGTATTCGTTAATTTGCGGTAACAAACATCTAGGAATATTGGGCTTCTGCCCTGAGCAAGATAGGCTGAGGCCGCATTCATTCAGCTCAGGTCTACGCTGACGCGCTTTCACCCAAAGCTGAGAAAGTTTGATGCGGATGACCTCTCTGCCTTAGATGTCGGTGCTGTTATCCTTAAAGTATTTTCAGAATGGAGAAGTGCGCAGGTCAGGGACGGAGTGTTATCACGCTTCGCAGCTGGACAGCGTTAAGGGCACCTAATTTAGTTTTGTCACCATCACCTCCACAAGACGATTTGTGGTTGACAGGTTGCATTGCTGACTGCGTTAAAATCTAAGGCGGGCGTTTTTGTCCCGTAATATGGTATTCCCGCACACTCGTCACCAGATGCGAGATATCCACGTTTAATTTTTTAGACTTTAAACAGACCAGTTCCCTGCAGTCAGGCTGTTCGGACTTTTGGGATAATTAACACCAAATACCGCGTAATCGCTGCATTGCAAATCGGACTTATGAGCCAGATGCTAGCTAATGAGCGAATTTCTGGGGAAACCCTTAATAGGTGACACTTCAAGCAAAAATCATTTTGCCAGAACAAGATTGCAGTATCAATCGTTGGTGCAACATTTCATTCACCAACGTTTCTCTTCGACCGCAAAACGGAATCATCGTGCTTTATTTAACTTTTACTCGCCTGGCCACTACTCTGTTTTCCAACCGTTTGGAATGCGAAAAACATCAAGCAGGTTGTTACAGAATTCACCTCAGAACACCCCTGTCAGAATCTAACCGCTGAATGAAGACTGTCCCCGCCTAAACATGGGGAATCAGGCGGTACCTTAGTTCCATCGTCTTATTGGGTGAAAACGGCTTCCAGATGCTGAACTTGTGAATCAAATGGTCGATGATCCCCATTCATTGTCATTTGTCTTCTGTTTTATCACCACGCTTAAGCACCAACTGTACGACTACCCGCTATGTGCGATATGAAAACGAGTGCACAAAACACTGCTACGATTCGAGTTCTGCCACTGCCAGCACCGGAGAGGAATGTCAGACCCTCCACTAGGAGATTTTACTGCCTCGACCGGAGCCATCCTAGGGGGTGGCCAAGGTGTCATACTCATCATCGTCACGGACAGCACGACGTTTATGTTGAATGCTGATGCCTCGCTGCCGTACACCTATGTCTCATTTGAAAGTCTCATTGAGAAGAAAATAATAGAAGAGGACAATAGAATTACAACATATCCCAAACACAGTTGCTTTACAGAGCCCGAACAATGCTGAAATATCGCAGCCGAATACACTGCTGCCTATGCAGAGTAAACGGACCCAAGAAGATAATTCCTATCTAAAATGATAATGTCTCTGTCCGACGCACCATGTTAATAATTTTTTGGGTGCTTCCAGTAAGCAGAGACCACCAGCTGAGTGCAGTAAATTTGCTCTATGCTGGATAAGGATCTCAAAAATGAACAAAATAAACAAACGAGCGAACGGACGATGAAGAACGTTGAAAGAAACGGACATCATCTAATACGCGACACATGGAATCGGTCATGCGTGCAAACAAACCAGCCACAAAGATGACGTTTAAAATAGGGCCACAACATACAGCGTATGCTGTTTGAGGGGTTTTAGCTCCCATGGGGACTCTGCGGAGAAACCAGTCTAAGCATGAGTTCCTTGGCTATGAATGTTGCTTGCGATCGACATGTCACCGAAATTTCTTAATCACTTTATTCTTCCACATGTTTGAAGAGGAGTTGGTCTAAACAACCAACCATCACTCTGATTGGACGGATGTTCCGCATTTGGCCTTGCACCAATCGAAGCATTCTCCTGATTGGGTAAAATAGGAGCCTCTCAGAACCGCGCTTGTTTGGCTTGGTGCTCCGCCTCACGTCACGATCACGAGTATTGTAGCCAAACCTTGTGGGAAGCTGCCTGTTAGCTCCATAAATACAGCTGTAACAGTTCTTCTTAGCTCCCATGTTAGGGATGTCTCAGTCAAAGGTGCCTTATGGAAAGTAAGACTGCTGCTGCGGGGACAGCTGAACATGGTTGGTTCACAAATGTCTTACGCCTCAAGCTTCGTCGTGACTTTGACCTTGCTAATACCTCTGGTATACATTACCAGCAATTTTGTCTGGTTTATTAGTATTTTTGACTTGCAACCTTGCTTACCGGGCTTTCCCAATGGGGTTTTCGGTTCTCCCCCATGGTGCCTCCATGTCATGCATACTACATATTTGCCAGCTACGCCACGATGTTTACCATCCAGTGATGGTTCTGCCAGGCTGATGCTATTACCACAACGTCGTAGACAATTGTTAGTTCGTCACATGAAATCGGACTTGCAAGATAAATACCTCATTTTCGACCATATAGTCGCTGAATGGCGCGGTAGGTACCACTGATTTGTGTCAACAACACCCTCATCACATACGTGTGGAGACCGTGTAAGTCGCCGGGAATTATATTAAAAAAAAACGTTACAGCTTACACAGAGGCGGAGAGCGACTGGAACAAACACTTAAAAACGCTGTCACAGAGCATATAAATCAAATTAACGTTCTATTCATTATTAAAATCCTACGGAGCCTCTCATGATGTTGTGGTATAGTGATATTCGTTCTGCCACAAAGTACTTGGCTCCATACTTGTGCATGCAGGCCGTAGAGCTAGCACGATCAATCACCGGCGATGCATCCCCAGATATAGCCTCTGTACACGCTCACCATCCTGACACACCACACCACTGATAAGGGCAAGTTAACGTAGGTCAAGGGCGGTGTTCTTCAAAAGGAAGGCCATAGTAGTATTGTAGTACGGGATCAAGATAACTTTTGTGGATGATCAACAAAAAAAACTTCATGAGCCGAAGTCAGTAAGCAAATCCATGAATCGTCAATAAGTCACTGCCCTCCTCTTTTTAGTCCATTGCTAATGAGCAATGCTTCCACATGATGAGATGTTTGTAATTTCCCCACTATTGTGCTATCGTTCAGCTGTAGCACCTTCTCGGTACCTAGCTGCCATGTCCACGGAACGCAGTACGAGGAGTGAGATACTGCCAAGTTGCCCAAGCCTTAACGGGAGCAGTCGAGATACTATGTTTGGGTTTGAACCATGGACCTTCTGATCTGTTAGCTGGCGCTTTAACCACCGAGCTATCTCGAGCCTTCACTGATCTATCGCGAGTCCCATTACACTGTACAATAATATCCTCGTCTACTCGTTCCTACTGAAATTTCTACATTATACAGCCAACCACCAACTAGTCGCTTATTTCCATGCGTACCGTCTGATATGGTTCTTCGAAAAAGAACTTTGGCAATGTGCAGTACTTGGTTCCCTATGGATCGGTGAGAACTTGACCAAAGTTTTATTCCAAGGACTTTTATAAGGGCATGTGACTTCACTGGAAACCATCAATGGGTCGGTGAAGTTGGCGTTCGAAGTCCTTCAGAATTGCGGCGAGTGTCTGTTGGCAGAGTGAACTTTTCAGATAATTTGAAACAGCCCGTGTGCATGGAAAGAAATTCCAATATACATCGGACCGGGACTCCATGTCGGCTGCAACTGTCTCAGAGGTGTCCTTCGCGCCATGTTTTATTCGACTCCTGAGGCCCCTACTTCGAACGTGCCCGTTTATCCCATCCAACGTATGTTGAGGACGCACTCCTATTCCACGCCTATCCAATACACATCCCAGCACCATCCACATCTTATGCAGCAGATGATGCGTTGTTCGCCGTCGTATTCTGTAAACAGTTTCTTTCCGGAGGTTGCCGTGTTCCAAATGCATACCAGGCAAACAGCTGGTATTATTCAAGTGACAGGAGTCGCCGCATCGCTCCAGCAGAACGACTAACTGGCATTATTTTCCACAGGTCAATCGATTGTTGGCCTGGCCGAGGATGTGATAACCATATCTTCACCTTAAACAGCGCCATCATTCCCTCGTCTGTCGTTTTTTTGATCTGAAGGCTGTTTTTGGTTCCGTCGGTCGTCAGCGACTTTGGTAGTGTTTAGTGATCAAAGGTATCCCGTCTAAATGTATGCCCCTTATGAGGGCACTGCATGTGAACACTTGGGAGAGAGTGAGTATACAACAAGCTTTGACCCGAATTCCAGTACCGTAAGAAAAGGCTGAT